TTATTTATTTTTAAATTTTATTTTATTGAGAAACAAATATCAATGAGACAGTTTCAAAGCTGAGCTAGGCTTGGTGGTACACGCCTGTAATCCCAGCACTTGTAGCTGAAGTGGGAGGATTGGTGTGAGTTTGAGGCCAGCCTGGGCTACATAATGAGATCTTGTTTACTAACTGAGAATTTTCTTTTTTAAAGCATTGGATTCGTTTGGAGATTTTCCCAGATGTTCTTGTTCATAGATTAAAAATGATAGTAGATCCTGCAGACAGTAGCTACATGCCATCCCTGGTTGTAGTGTCAGGTAATTAAATTTATTTATTGAAAAAGAGGTGTTTTCTGTCTTTTAATATGGCTCCTGTGTTTGATTGCTTTGCTGATTTTTTTCTGTAGGTGGAAATTCCCTGAATAACCTAATTGAACTAAAGACAATCAACATTAACCCCACTGATACCACCGTGCCCCTTCTGAATGACTGCACAGAGGTGAGTGCCATCCATAGTTACCCTCCTTTGGGGTGATTCTCCAGCCCAGCGCAATGATTTTCTATACTAGCACTAAGCCCTATTTCCCCCTCTTCATTAAATAATAATTGTTTTAAAGTTTCAGCGGCTTGAAGGCCAGGGATATAGCTCAGCAGCACAGCGCCTGTCTGTCAAGTGCAAGGTCTTGAGTTTGATTCTTGGTACCAAAAAAATAATTTCTTTCTTTTTTTCTTTTTCCTTTTTTTTTTTTTTGGCAGAACCGGGGATTGAATTCAGGCCTTTGTGCTTGCCAGGGAAGCGCTTATTTTACTGAGCCATCTCCCTGGCTCCCCCAAAATAAATTAATTTCAACAGTTTGTTTTACGCAACCTGGACTATATAGCAAGATTCTGTCTCCAAAAAATAATTATTAAATGCAGTTCATTTATTTTTGGTAATTTAGGGCCTTAAGAATGCTAGGAAAGAAAAAGAATGCTGTGAATATGTACTACCACTGAGCTACAACCCCAGCCCTACCATTCACTGTTTTTTAAACTTTGTTTATGTATGTTTATTACAGTACTGAGGATTAAGTCCAGGGGTGCACTGCCGCTGAAATGTGTCCACAGCCTTTTTCATTTTTGTACTTTATTCTCAGACAGAATCTCGGGAAATTTTCCAAGGTTGGCCTCTACCGTATAATCTTTCTGTCTCAGCCTCCCAAGTGGTTGAAATGAGAGAAGTGTAGCATCTGCCCTTTCCCCTCCCTCCTTCCCTTCCTTTCTCCCTCCGTTCCCCTTCCCCCTCCCCCTCCTCTTCCCCCTTCCTCTCCCCCCT